TTACAACTGTATGCTTCAGTAATAAAAAGGATAGGTGTCAAAAGGACAACTACATATCTGTAGCAAACATCAGCAAAAGCGGGAAGACAGTGGTCAAACATTTTTTGGTGAGATACTTGGTTCAACAGTCCTAGAATGTTTGTGGAACTAAGTGGTATGAGTGTTTTCTGGAAACCATTTCTGTACAACAACAACAAAAAAAAAAAAACAACATTTGAGGACTGAGAACTTACAAGTTCAGCAAAGGAAAGAAACTAAAACCACCATTCACAGCTACTCTATGTATCACTGTACTTCTTACTGATGTTGTAGACTCAGACATTCTGCTTTTATTAAGCAAAGATACCATGAAAAGAGCCAAGACATGTCTCAATTTTGAAAGTGACAGTGTCACAATGCTTGGTAAAAAAAAATGTTCATTAAAGAAATGTTTTACCAAAAACAGATCAGAAAAAAAAATAGAATTGCAACAAAATTACATAAACAATTCAGCCATTCAAGTCGTAAAAAGTTGTTGAATTTAGCTAAGAATGCAGATATAAAAGACTCTAAATTTATAAAGATTTTACTTCCTAATTTATGTAAAATATGCATTCAATACAAAAAGACCGGACCCATTGTTTGGTTCTATTTTAATGAAAGCGTTGCTATGGGCATAAAAGAAAATAATGGAAAAAAGATATTGCATCTAACTGGTAAAAAATACGGTGTTGGAATCAGGATTCCTAGAAAGGAAAGTTCAGACATTCTTCGTGCTATATTCACACACTGGATAGCATATTTTGGCACTCCAGGAACTATTCCCACTGACAATGGTAAAGAGTTCAATAACCAATTATTTAGGGACATGGCACAGAACTTGAATATTGTAATATTCACTACTGTTGCTGAAAGTCCATGAAGCAATGGTTTGAAAGAATGGCACAATGGGATACTGGAAGAAATGGTGAAGAAAACTATTGAAGACACAAGCTGTAGTTTTGATGTAGCATTGGCATAGGCCATAAGTGCCAAAAATACACTTCAGTGTCCATGGTTATAGTCCTAACCAACTTGTTTTTGGCAGGAATCCCAAATTGTCTTCCTTTTTAAATGACAAACCCCCTGCATGAGAAGGCATTTCTACCAGTGAAGTTGTTGCAAACCTCAACACAATGCATGCAGCCAGGAAACATTTTATAGCATATGAGTCTTCAGAAAAATTATGGTGTGCACTTTGTCACCAAATTCAAACAAATATAGTGCACAGTCATACAAAAATGGTGATACTGCTCTCTATAAAAAGAAACATATGTGATAGGTGGCTTGGTTCAGGAAATGGTCACAAGGTGGGAACATAAGCAGGTACTTGTTAAATATGGCAGTACATATATGAAAGTACGTCCATCCCATTTAGTACCCTACCCTGAAGCATATCAAAGTTCTGAAGATGAACACCTTACAAAAAAGGACTAACAAAACTCTATAAGTATCAATTTTTGAAGAGAATGATGTGAATGAAAAAAGCCCAAATAAAAAATATTGAACAACAGACCGTGACAGCAAGAATCAGACCATCAAAGCAAAACTCCATTCTTAAGAAAACTGAGTTCCCAAAATGAGGACAAACATTAAATTCAATCTTGCGAATGATGATAATTCAAAATGGAGAAAATTGAATATCGGGGAGGCAAAGCAACAGGCAAAAAACAAACACTTAAAGTAGTTATGTAACAAGGCAAACCCCCTTTTGGCTGGCATGGAGTATCAGTATGGCAAGCAAGTGAGGTCAAGCAAACAAGAGAAGACAAAAACACTTCTTGTGATGAGGAAAATATGATTTCCTCTTCAAATGATGATCTGGAAAAGCAAGAAGGTGCTCCAAAGTTGGGTTGAAAATAAAGCTTACATACAAATTCCTGATCAAGGTCAACCCAAGATGGATTTATACTTATAAAAGTTCTAACAGTAAACAGATTTGTAAAACTAAACTCGTAACTCAACGCTTCCAGGACAAAGATGCTTACACTATAAGAAATGGTTCTCCCACCAGCTCTAAAGAAGGTCTACGCATAGCATTGAGAATAATGGCATCTAACCACTAGATGTGTAAATCCATGGACATAAATACCATGTTTCAACAGAGTAAACAGACTAATCGGTTTACCTGGATCCTCTGAAAGCGGCCAATGTATGTCCAGGTTATATTTGGAAACTCTTTAAATGTGTATATGGTCTGAATGATGCTTCAAGGTCTTGGTAACTGACACTCAAGGATGAAAGAATTAAATTAAGAGCAAGAGTTTCAAAATATAACCAGGCAATATTTACATGGCATTTTGGAACCAAACAACAGGGTATAATTGCCACCCATGTTGATTTCTGCTTTGCAAAAATCTTTCAAACCAGAGTTAGACTAAATTCTTTGCACTTTGAAGTGAAATCTGATGAAGTTGCTGAATTCCAAATTATAGGATTAAACAAAGAAAAATGGAGATGTGTAATTTTTACATATTCATTCTTAGTTTAAATATATCCAAGTAGAAGTAGGCAGAAATTTGAAAATAGGCAGAAATCTTGCCATAAACACACACACACACACTGCTGCATTACTTACAATCTTGGGGTTCATAGACAGATTAATAGTCATTTGTATCCTCCTCTGTTGCCAGATTAATAGCCGTTTGTATCCACCTTCGTAGCCAGATTAATAGTCGTTTGTATCCACCTTCGTAGCCAGATTAATAGTCGTTTGTATCCTCCTTAATAGTCGTTTGTATCCACCTTCGTAGCCAGATTAATAGTCATTTGTATCCACCTTCATAGCCAGATTAATAGTCATTTGTATCCACCTTCATAGCCAGATTAATAGTCATTTGTATCCTCCTTCATAGCCAGATTAATAGTCATTTGTATCCTCCTTCATAGCCAGATTAATAGTCATTTGTATCCACCTTTGTTGCCAGATTAATAGTCATTTATATAAACGTGATATAATAGGTATTACGCGGAGTAATCTTGTTGTGCTCGCTGACTACTTTTGTATTCGACTAACTGTCGACCACTGTCGTCCGACATCGACTGACCCTCGTTTCTTTTACTACTCCTACTTATATTAGGTGGGAGAGTCTATTAACTATAGAATAGGTGTGTTTCACCTTCATAGCCAGATTAATAGTCATTCGTATCCACCTTCATGGCCAGATTAATAGGCGGTTGTATCCACCTTCATGGCCAGATTAATAGGCGGTTGTATCCACCTTCATAGTTGTTTGTATCCACCTTCGTAGCCAGATTATCAGTCATTTGTATCCACCTTTGTAGCCAAATATTCATTTGTATCCCGCCAAAAATCTTACAAAAACAGACATGCTTGCTATGTAAGTTGATATAGTCAACAATAGCTAACCAGCACAATCAGTATCATAGTCATCTTGCTATCATTAGATAAGGTATCTAGTAAGCACTGAGTCAGAAATATAAAGATTACCTACTAAAAAGATTGGCCAACAATTTTTTTTTAAAAACTTCAAATTAAAAACAATTGTGGAAAAGATGCTTCATCGATGTTAGTTTCAGAGTTAATTGACAAAAAATCACTTTGGCCATAAATACAAGCAAGAAATCTGAGAAAGTAATTCACGCCTCAAGTGTTGTATAATAAACTGTAACTGAAAACGTGTGCAGACAATAGGTTACAAAATGGTGCAGCAAAGAACAGGGATTATGAACAATTAATCTATTGCAAATATGCTGATATATTCAAGCAAGAAACCATAGAACATTAAACAGTATATCAGACAACTTAAATACAACTTCTTTTCCTTAATACTTACAGTTTATAAACTAAATGCAAGAAGTATTATTGGACAAAAGTAGAAATATGTATAAACACCAGCTAAAATAAATAAATATACATTTTTAAAACCAAGCCCTTATGTAAACCAGTTAAGAACAAAATTGGAAATAGAAGCAAAAAAAAAAAAAAAAAAAAAAAAAAACTAGATAAAATAAAGCAAAAGTGAAGAGTAGTAATGAAAATAAACTGGTGGAAAAAGCATAAAAGATGTTATAAATGGTCTTAAAAACACAAGAGAAAAAAAAAGAACATAAATTTTATACAATTTGATAGAAAGATTTTCTATCCATCTATCATAGAAAAATATCATTTAATGTGTTAAATATGGTGAAAGAACTTATGCAGCTAGATGAATATGGATCAAAACAAAGTCGCAAAAACAAATACCAGTATTACTCAACAAAAATTAACAATGTAAAGAGAAAGGGTGAGTGAGGAAAGAGAGCGCAGGAAACGAAGGAGAGAGAGCGAGAGCAGGAAACGAAGGAGAGCGAGAGCAGGAAACGAAAGAGTGAGAGAGAAAGAAGAGAGAGAGAAAGTAAGAAGGGCGAGAGAGAGAGAGAAAGGGGGAAAACAACAGAGGGAAATTAAAATTTTTTTTATATTCTATTTTATATGTGTGTCTGTCCAAAAAGATATTCAGAAACTTAATTTAATGCTTAAATTAATACATTCCAATTACTATTAGGGGCTAGATTATATACCCAAGTTAATACTCAACTTGTTCTTTGTAACTGACCACTTTTAAGTGCAGCCTTTTAAAGCCAAATACAATCTCATGTTCAAGGACAAATGACTCAATACTAGAAATATTAGCAGAGGCAAAACATTAGACAAGCCTGAAACAGTTTATACATTTCTTTCACGTGTGTGTGTGTGTATATATATATATATATATATATATATATATGAAAAGATAAAAAATAATTAAATTTAAGCTTGTTGTTCTGTTGATACATGCAGAGACTTGCAAAACTCAAATTAAAATTCTACAAAGGAAGACAAACGACATGAAAATGCAATTGATCAGATACATAAATGTAAGTTCTGAAGAGAGAAAGAAAAATGAAAAGAAAAAAAAAAGGCAACCAAAAAAAAGGAAGGAAAAAAAAACAAAAGAAAAGAAAGGAAAGAAAAAAAAATATAAAAATGCATTACTTACTCAACATAATAGACAGCTCCCTCTGGGGTAATACTCCATTCCCAACCACTCGGTAAATCTGCAAAAAACACATTCAGAATTAAAACTCATCAATCTTTAATAAATAAATTAAGAATGAAACAAAGAAATAAATATCTTTAAATATCTAATAGGTTATTTACACTATATTGAGGCTAGTCCACAGCTTTGTTTTTATTACATAGTGATTTCAAGTTCTATCCCTGGGTCAAGCATTGTGTACTTGCACTAAATGGAAACTGGCAAGCAAATAACTGAACCATACTAAATAAAAATAAGAATTAGATGATATCCCTAAACATGAACAGTGGAATGAGTACAGATTCAGGGATTAAATAAAGGGTTCAGTTCAGAATTAACTGTAAGTTACCCAGCTCAGTATACACGTGAGGAAGGCAGGCACAATGCTACCTGGATTTACTAAAAACAAAATTTCCATGCCTGAGGATGACTGAATGTACAGTTGAAAGTACTTGCAGATTAAAAAAAGACCTTATACAGCTTGGAGTTATTAAAAACAAGGATCATAACATTCATCGAGTGGTTCGTAGGTTAATGAAACTTTAAAATTTTGTTTGCAAAGAGTTTTCGCCATTTTATATCATTAACTTTACTAATCTACTTTTTGTATGAATGATTCATTGTAATATAGACATATATACACACACATATATATACATACATGTATGCATACGTACATATACGTATATACATATGTATGTGTGTGTGAAAACATGTATGCGTATATACATGTGTGTGTGTGTATACATATATATGCGTGTGTGTGTGTGTGTATACATATATATGTGTGTGTGTGTGTGTGTGTGTATACATATATATGTGTGTGTGTGTGTGTGTATACATATATGTGTGTGTGTGTGTGTGTGTGTGTGTGTGTGTGTGTGTGTGTGTATATATATATGTGTGTGTGTGTGTGTGTGTGTATATATATGTGTGTGTGTGTGTATACATGTGTGCATATATATGTGTGCATATATGTGTGTGTGTGTGTGTGTGTGTGTGTGTGTGTGTGTGCATAAAATAATGTTTAAGTTTATATATATAAAAACTTAAACATTACTTTTAGTGGATACCCATATTTGAGTAGATGCTCCGTTTATTTATTAAACAGTATATTCATTTATTTTCATGTACCGCCCTGAATATTTACAAACCTAATTAGTGAAAAACATCCACTTTCTCTAATATTTTAAAAAAATATTCGGACCCATAGATGAAAATAAGTAAACTGATTAATAAATAAATGGAGCTGAAAAACAAATGTCTTCTAGAGATTGTTTAAAGTGATAAAAATCTGTCAGATTAAAAAGAAAATCCATTACTTTCTCTAAAATTAACTTTGTTTAAATTTGATACAAAACTGTACAGATATGAAAATTTTTGGGAGATCTATGACAAGAGAAGTTTTACTTAAACACCTAAAGGTCCAATTCATCCTTGCCTGACTGATAAAAATCAGTCAGATTCATAAATAAAAACTCCATTTCTATCTTTTTATATAGAAAATGAACTCTCCTGTAGTTTTCAACACATCAGGGTTCAACCAATAATTATTTTAAGCCCAGTTTGACATCCACACAACATTCCACATAGAGGACAAGGAACAGCACCCTTTGCAAAGGCTGCTGGAATGTTAGAGCAGTGTAGTATATAAATATTACATGTGTGACACTCCTCCACTTGACAAAATCCGGAAGCCAGTTAATCAAAGGGCGACAGAGAGATGTCAATGGAATGTAGGTTTTGCTCAAGTATAACATTGCACTCCACTTTCCGAGAATTGACAGGCAGTTGGCAGTACACGAGTATTGTTGGCATCTTTTCATCACTCATGCGCACAATATGATCAGCCCAACAAAGTCACAATTGCATTAGAAATGGTTATGCAAAAATACATAAGATGATGTTTTTTTTTTAGGTCATATTAAAAATGCATGTCAGGTTTTTAATACAATGTTAATACAAACTCATATTACATACGGTTCTGTCCTCAGGATACAGAGTAATGAATAAAAAAATAAAAAAAAAGAAAGATAAAAAAAAAAGAAATCAATAATAATTTGTATTTAATTGAAACTGCATTCTGAGTTGTGTGTGATATATATATATATATATATATATATATATATATATATATGTGTGTGTGTGTGTGCTGGTCAATCCTTCAGCAACTTTTAACAACAAAAGGGAGCGAAAGAAAGTTGTTAAAAAGTTGCTGAAGGGTTGACTTCCTCATATGTCTCACTTTTCCTTCTCCCATAATAAAACCTTATTGTAAAATCTATATTTTCCACTGTTATATCTGAAATTTTTTTTTTTTTTTTGCTTGTGTGACTAAATTTAAAATCCATTTATTGTTGTAAAATTGTTTGGTCTGAAGAGAAAGTCTGATCCCATGAAATAAATTATTACCATGGATTTCTAAAGTCTCCACTTTCATCATTAGTATATTTGCTGTTCTTACATTGAGCTCTCTTTGTATTTGTATCCTCTTTTGAATTATCCCTACTAATTATCAAAATATTATATATATATATATATATATATATAAACAATCGCATGTCTAGCCAAACTAATGAGCTGTGATACAGTGTACAGTGAAACAGTCTGTGGATGGCTATATATGCCCCCTTTTATAGTTTGAGCATACTGGAAGAAAGGGAATTTGTCAGCTACTACTGATTAATGCTTAAAGACCTTTGCTATGAACTGAGCCCTCTGGTAGTCAGTAATGGATATATCCCAAATATAATGCATTAAAAATTCCCTTTCTCTGTAGTGTGCGCTGAAGGCCTGAGAGTGAGAGTCTTCAAGAGATGTCAAATCAGATGGGCTTCTATCCTGGCTTGAAGCAATTGCATGTCTAGCCACACTGATTAGCTGTGATACAGTGAAACAGTGTGGATGACCATCCATACATACATCTCCCTTACTGGTAGCACAACACAATCTTCAGATGCCGGGTAGAGTTACCCAGCATCTGAAGATTTGTATTGTGCATGAAACTAAGAGTCATGCTTCTAGTTAGGGATAATATGTATATTTATTAATATATACTTGATAGCTCTGTTATATTACATCGAGCACTATTTTATTAACACCAATTCTCAATGTGCAATATCTTATTTTTATATAGATACACACACAGAAATTATCTTGTAGAGAAATTCATTTTTGGCCTCAGGTTGCCACTAAATCTTTGTTTACATCTACAAATATGTCCTATTTAAAGATTTAAGCAATTTGGTAGTTGGGAGTCCGACATGAACCTCAGTCTTGTGCTATATTTTATTTAAGCAGACACCTGGATAAATCCCAATGAAAAAAAAAATGAATTTCTTATAGTTGCTCTCTCAAAGAGGTTCTATACTTTGAACATCTATTCAGAATCAAGTTATCTAAACTTGAATTTGAGCCATATATGAGGCCATGACAATGTCACAATACCAACTTTTTAAAAAATGTACTATTTTGTTCTGAGCAAGGGAATAATGCCCCCAAGATACTGAGTGTGAAACAATTAGAAAAAGAAAAACATTATTAAGGAGAAAGAAAAAAAAAAAAAAAAAAAAAAAACATGGATTAAGACAAAAGATAACAACATTGCATTTAATTTTTTGAAGATCAAACTTGACGGTAAAGCAAGAAGCCAGAAAAGAGTGCCACAGAAACTATTAACATAGAACTCAGGGTTACATACAGCCATTTCAACTGTAAAATCATACTTATTATAAAACCCAGGTTATGTATGTGTGTGTGTGTGTGTGTGTGTGTACGTTTATATATTGGATCGGATTTTCTACATTTTTCAACCGATTTCAACAAAACTTCACAGGACTACGTAAAATTACATTGTGGTGGTTCTGACAGCGCCAAAAATTGGAAAAACAATTGTTTTTGCACAAAATCAATTTGAAAACATGATTAAGAGGCAAGAATGAAAGGGAGACAACTCATATAGAGTTATACTTATTATAAAAACCAAGTTGTTTTTGTGTGTGTTTCTGTGTTCATTTATATATGGGATCGGATTTCCTACATTTTTCAACAGATTTCAACAAAACTTCACTTTTTTTTTTGGCAGGTAGTGTTTCTTATTGTTTTGCACACTTTATTCTTTATTTTTATATTCAGAATGCTTTAAAAATTGCATTTACAAGACAATTGTTTATAATAAAATTCTATTCAATCGGTAGACTCATAACGATTGAAAACAATGTTTTTGTTTGTGTTTGACCAATTCGTAAAAAAAAAACAAAAAAAAAAATAATAATTAAGACATGCGTGTCCGTCAACCTTAAACAATAATCTTTGTCAATTTTATTTTTCAGTCTTTATGATGGTTGATACTTGATCTATTTCTTACTGTTACATCCCCGGGCAACGCCGGGCTCTACTGCTAGTTTCTAATAAGAGAGTAAAAGTGTGAAAGACTACTAGATTGATAACTAGGTTTCACACTTTTACTTTTGAACTAGATGCAACTGCCACTTCTATTCTAACAGTTTTTTTTTTTTTTTTCCCCCCCACACTTCTCACCTGGGAAACACCCTTCCAATTTCTTGCTTACCTGCAACCTACAAATCTTCAGAAATTTAAAAGCAAAGTCAACTGCCACCTCATGTCTAACCAAACCCTGTTCACTTGTCCTTTCCTCACTTCCCCAACTCACTAAAGTCTTTTCATTTTCACTCCCTGTAACCCACTGTGTAATAGTGGCTTTATCACCTTGCTTGAGGTGAATTGATTAAAAAAGATTATTAAGTAATACTGGGGCACAAATATACTGAGCTCAGTAGACTGAGCATAATAGCTAGTTCCATAAGATTATATCAGGCACATGCATCACAAACATGGGTATGATATAGTGACAGGTTTTGATAAAAGCAGAATATAACCTTTTAGGTGGGGAGGGCCAAGTTAGAAATCCCTTCAGGTTTGTTAACCCAGTCTGCACAGACAGGTCTTCGGCTAAGAGTGTTCCATGTATCTAGATGAGACTTCTCCTCACTAAAGTCT